GGAAAGAGCCACTTGTGTCAGCTGTGCAGCTATCTAGTGTGAAGGTGCTGGCATTGACACCAAGTTTGGAGGGGCTGCTTTGGAAACTTCTTTCCATGTTGGGAGATCCACATACCCTACAGCTGGCCCTTTGCCCTGTGTGGCTTGTGTGGGAAAGAAAAGACTGTCCCCAGATCTCTGTAGGCTTGCCATTTTTGAAAGTAGCTCATTAACACCCATAGTTTTAGAAGGTTTGGGTTTTTATGTGGTACTACCTGCAAAGATCTGAAGCAGATCTTGTTTGTAAGTCAGTGCAGAGCCTGAAAACATTTCAGTGCCTCTGAAATGTATGTCCTGTAACTTATGTGTTCCTGAGCTGCTGTCTCTTATAGCCACGTGGGAAAAGTTTTATAAGAGTCTAGATTAACTGTTGTGTTATGCTGCTAAAGAGGTCCCTGCATAATTGGCAGTCAGGGACAAAACTTGGCACTTTTTCATAATTTGTTTAACCATTGAAAGCAGTAGAGGGGCAGATCCTTCACTGCTGTATATAGCTGAGATTTTTGAGCCGTGCTGGAGCCATGCCAGTCCACACAAGCTGAAGGTAGAGCCTGGCCTGTTTTGAATATTATCTCTCTTGATTTGTATGGTATTTGCAGTGTAATGACTGCCGATTTGGAGCTTTAATTGCATGCATTTGACAGAAGTAGAATTGGAGTGAGGTTTATTACTGTTTTGATACAGTCTCACAAGGGAAGCTTTTTACTAGCATTTTAATATAGGCTTTTGTAAACACCTAGAAAATAACTTTCTGAGTCCAATCCTTCTGCTAATGGAGTCACTGACAAAGTTTCCTTTGGTTTTAGTAGGAGCTGGATTGGGTTCAGTCTAAGTGATACACTCTGGTGTTACTGATACTGAGTTAATGTGTTTTATATATCGATGCTTTTTGCTGGACAGTGCATTGGCTTTTTATGATTTGGTGATATATACAAATAAATTATTTGAGAAGTTGATATTTCTGTGCTTGTTTTTTGATGGTGAACTCATGTTGTTACAATGTAAGATAAAAATTGTTTTCAAAGTCAATGGTAGCATCTTTGTTCATATACTCATTCCCCAGCATCTCCATGTATAGTCAAGGATATGGACAGTCATCCTAAGCTGCCTAAGCCCTTTTGATACCATTTTTCAACAGTGAACCCTAATGCCATAGGAAGCAAGGAGAAGATGCTTCTGTGTCAGCATGCAGCTGAAAGGCAGCTTGTTACCAAATGTAAAGGGGGACCACAGGCTGCATGGGCAGGTTAATTTTCTAAATGCCAACTGCTTAGTATTCTTCATGTGGCATCAGATTTTCTTTTCAGAGGTGGGCCTGAAGGTTATCAATAGCTATCCCGGTGTGAGGAGTTAATAAGAAACAAGTCCACACTATTATCTTAGAAGTTTCTGGGTTATTCCCTGAGGGCAGCTGGTAATACCCTTTTTCTAGTCACATGCTGCCAGCCCTTCTGCTTGCTTCAAACTGGCAAAAGGCAGAAATGTCAATTAAAATTTCTGCTATAGGCTTCTCCTGCTCCATTAAGTTGTTTGCAGACGAGCAGGGTTGGAGACACAAAAGGAGGGAGTGGAAGCAGAAGCAGTCTTTGGGGCTGCCTTTTACCAGAGCTAATGCTGTGCCCAGTAGTGGAAGGTTAATGTAAAAAAATCTAGTGTCATCTCACTGTGTCCTTTTCTGTCTCCTCTAATTGTATGGGTATGATTACGCCTGCTAGTGCAACTGGGTGCTGTTGATGTGGTGAGCTTGCCTGAAGAGGGTGTTGGCAGCTGCCCTCTGTTTGTGATGCAGGAATGTACTGAACACCATCAAAACAACACCCCGTACTGTTGTGGTCTGCTGATTTCTGTTGTGCATTAATTTCATACTCATTGCATAAGGGATATTAGGCAACCCTTCTACCCTTAGGGCCTGTCACTAGTCCAGTTTCATTCTCAGACCTCCTTCTCCTCTCTTCTGGCCCTTTGACTTTTGCCAGCCTAGACACTGCTCCTGGGAAGCCCATTCACTGTGCTTCAAAAATTCCTGCAAGAGTCCTGTCATCCATCACTCTCTCTTTTCAACCATTTAAAGCTAAAACATAACCATTTCAGAGCTGCATTAAGTAATTGCTCAGAGCTGATTTGCTGCAAGATTCCTGATTTCTAAAATGATTCCCTACTCTGGCATCAGTATGAATTCAGGTGAGCATCTTGACCATTTGTAATAAGTCATATACTCCCCTCTCCTTTTTTACTTCTTTATGGGCAATTCTCAGCAGTTGTACTGAAGGGAAATATTACCAAGCATGGCCAGGAAGAGAATTATTACCCAGCATAGCTGATTTTGTGTAACTTTAGAGCTCCTGTTAGCTATTCCAAACTCACGGAGGTGCCACACCTAGAAAAACAACACTGAACAAGAATAAGGATCCATCCCATCCAGCTCACAGTGATAAGGATAGATCTGTGATGGATGAAGAAGAGAAAGAAGGGCCAGAGTAGGAAAAGCCTGACACATACTTGACTGATCACAGTAAACAATCCTGACCCAGGAGGCCTTGCAAGGCCATGGGGAGACCTACATAAGTGCTGCCTTTGTCCATGTCCAAAACAGTCCCAAGAGGAGGCTGGGCAGAAGCCAAGAGTAGCTGTTCCTCTGCTTAACATCCCTGACAGCCCAGAAGCGATAGCCATTCTTACTCTCACTGATAAAGCTGGGCCCTACCAAGGAGAACGTGGCCATTTTCTGTTTACAGCAGACCTGGTGGAAAGGTGAGACCATGTCCTTCTCCTGGGGAGCTGTGCAGGGAGGTGAGCACACATATGGTCACTGCCTCTGCATTTTCCCTCACAGTCCTCAGAGGAGTTCCTGTTTTACCTTAACCCTTTGGTTTGTTTTAAAGTTACCGAAACCAAGTTTCTAACACACTGTAAGGGTTCACTCTGCTGCTCTTGAGATTGCTTGGTTCTTGTCAGCTCAGGCTTTGCTTTCTTAATGCAATGTGCCATGACTTGCAGTGAGAGAACCATCCCTGCAAAAAGGGCTCCTGTTTTGAAGGAACTAGTTGCTATGTACTAGGAGGACATATCAGTTCAGAGCCAAAAAAGGAACACCATTGGTTTGCCAAAGAGCTTCAACATGAATATTGAAAAGTCATATACATTAAAAAGTGCAAACAGAAATTGCAGTGACCATCTTGCCCCATGCAGGCCGCAGTCCAAACTTTTTAATCAGATTCACTAGCACACAAGTTTAAAACCTTCCTTCTTTATTACCTAAACAGCAGGGGTGAAAGGGGGGAGAGGGAGGGGAAGCAGTGGTGAAACTTACCCTCTGAGCTGGGGTACCCGAGCAGTTTGCACAGAGAGCCTCTGACCTAAACACTCCTCCTGCAGCAGCCTCTGCTTCCCAGACGGGCAGCGTGGCAAATGCAGTTGCTGTGGTCTTTGACACCTCAGGAGGAGCATGAGAATAGCCACTGAAGTCACTTCTTTCTGTCATGGACCACAATTTTTTTGACTTGTTCTCAGTCAAGTTACTGCCCACTCTCTTCTTGAGAGAAGGTTGCATATTGTGTTTCTTTTTATCCTCTGCCTGTTTAAAGTCCTTGGGTTGCTTGGAAGAAGGCTATTGGGGAACAGAGATATGGCCCTCTTTTTTAAAAAAAATCAATTAAAAATAAAGCACCATTTTTTCTTTTTAGTGGATTGCAGTGGCAGGGGACTTCGAGACAAGGTCTTGTAAGTATCTCTTCCATTATCTTTGCAGTATTTTCTTTCTTCACCCTTTTTTTTTTTTTAACTTTTTATTTTAGTTTGTCTTCAGCTCTTACAGGTTCTGATGTCAGTCTTATATCAAGTAAACCCCAGCACACAACAGGTATTATTTGACAAGAATCTAAGACCTAAGAAAACTTGTTGTGTTGATGTTGTGGAAATTTAGGAGGAAAACATAGCTGAAGCTCGTAAGCTTGCAGTCGCTCATTCTTCTCTCAGACACACAGAGCACCACTCCACATTTATTGTGTGGTCTTCATTAAAAGGATTCCCTTCAGAGAGGTGCATACTATGGTGGGACAATGGATGGGTAAAGGGGTTTTGCCTCCTATGCCTTCATAAACAGAACACCCTTGAACACCCAGGCACATAAAAGCATATCCTGTGGCTGAACACAAGCACTATCATAAATCTTGTAGCTCAGCTAGTGGGGTTTATGGACTGAACCAAACCCAGAGGATTAAACTACTGATTTGATAATTAGCCTGGGATTCAATGCTGCTATTTATTGTGTTAGGCAAATAAACTGTTCACCATTTAAATGAGTTTTCATGTTCTTTTTCACACCTGGGAATCAAGTGAAACATTGGGAAACAGCTTTTGCCCATGGAGAAAAAAAAAAATACAAGAAGGGAAACAAGAAAGATATTTGCCAGGATTTTACTAATAATCATTTCAGGTGTACAAACATGGCAGCTTGGCAAGCCTTTGGCCACCGGAGCAGTGCTTGTGCAAGAGCTCAGCTTTATTTTAACTTTTGCAGAATAGCTCTTAGGAGACTTGAGGAGAAGGATGGTTTGGTGTTTAAAGCCTTGACCTGAGACCTAGCAGACTTATCCAGAGCTTGCTGCTGCCTGCACTGATCAGTGAATTTCTCTTTCTACTTCTGCTCCTCATAGCAGCAGTTTATAAGCCCTTTTGGGGACAAAATTCAGACACTTGTTTGCTGTTCAGGATGATGGAGCATTAATTTGGTGTGACCTCAAGATACTAGTATGACTTTCCACTAAGGTGAAAAAAAAAAAAAAAAAGAAAAGAAAGGAGAACAAGTGGCTGCTGGGCAGTGCATAAAAGGAGTGTCTTTCTTGCTCTCTGAGGTGGATGCTCACAAGTTCCCTGCATGTGACCAGAGCAGACTGGGAGCTTTGCACTGCTGCATGCTGGTTAGCAGTGCTCTGAGGTGTCTGTCAGGCTGGAGGACTTTGCTACTGCCTCGTAAACCAAGTCCAGCATTTTTGAGCAACGTGTCTTATCCGAAGAAAGAAGAGGACAAGTTGAGACTGAAATTCCTCCAGGACACTGACATCTTGCTTCATGCTGATGTAGTAGAGACTCACAGCAAGGATCAGCACTGCACAAAATGAGAGCCACAGGAGCACAGGCAATCCAGATGATGACCTGTCATCTACCAAACGGTGATGAGGAGAAAAAAGAAAGCAGCATTATTTTAGTGTCATCTTAAACACTTCCCAAATTTGACCCCCTGCTGAGGCCTTTGTCCCATTTTTCTGGGAACAGCAGGGTACACAGGGCTCTGGTTGTGAGTACTTCTGTAGGCATCAGTTAAGTGATAGTGAGTCACACCTCCTGATGGAGGTGAATATAAAAGATCTCATCTAGTGGAACACTTAAAGAGTTTAATTATATACAATAAGAATGGGATTACCATACCTAATGCATGATTGCAAGTTTCCCTCCAGAAATTATTTTTTGTACCTTGATGCTAAATGTTAAGTTAAATGCTAGGAGAATATTAAGCTGCTTCACCTAATTATTTAATGCTCACAAATGTTCCATAAAAAAGAGAAAGAAGATCTAGATTTCTGTTCTTTTTCCTGGTAGCTAAGCTTGTTAGGGGCTCCTGCTAATTACAGTAAGAACTGAAACATATCTCCATTAAAGAAGAGACATATTTAGAAAGCTCTGGCAGATTTAACCTCTCTCTAAGTGCTAGGTGTGCTAATAATACTCGAACATCCTCCACACTTGTTCTTAAGCAGGAGGACACTGTAAACATTTTTCCTGCCTTTAAAATATAGGTCAAGTGTGTTTAAAGTGCTGTAGGTCAGACACAGTAAACGTGGAAATCAGTGGGCTACATTTAGCTCCCCTACATCCATGCCTTAGCTCTAGCACATGTGTATCCATCCATGGGCCTCGGGGATGCAGTTTTATTCAGATCTCGCTGCTCTGTTTGACTGTGTGGCCATTGCACAATTGGTATTATTTTATAAATCACTTTGAATATTAAACATGCAGCATAAAACCAAATTCATGCCTGAATAAAACCCTGTAGTGTGCAGCTATTTTCCTGCCATATGCACATAATCAATAAGGAGATACAAATGTGGTGTGTCTGATTATGGGTAAAGGGCCAACATTAGCTGTAACATATTTAAATTAGCTTCTACTACGAGCCCTGGAATACACACCAGTCAATTAAACTGTCATACAGATGTACAGAGAGGAAGGTAAAAGTCATAAAACCAAGCAAGAAACACATAATAATGTATCAAAAAGTGTATGGGGAAAAGGTAAAATGTTAATAGGGAGTCATTTTATAGCTAACCAGAAACCAAATCAATGTTTCGTAATAGATCTGAGTGAATTATTTGCAGCAAATAATTTACTCATTTGAATTTAGCCCTTTTTTTCTGTTTGTAAATTATCTATGAGCAGATTTCAATTTTTATAAATGTGTTTATTTGGCACTATTCTATGAATGGTTTATATGAAGGTATTTAGCCAGGGAATTAGTGCTTTCTGCTTTTGCAGAGATTTGTGATTCGGAAGTTGGTGTGATCTCCCATACCACATGGTACAGTACTCGACCAGGTGGCCACCTGCCTTTCAAAGCATGGGGCCTGGCTGATGGGCATACCTGGTAACAGGGAAACTTTTCTGCAAAAGCTAAACAGCTTTTCACATCGTCCTTTTTCTTTGAAGTGCTTATAACCTTTTTTCAGTCTTGTGAAAGTTACTTTCCATGTGAAATTTCTGGGTGAAATGCTGAGGTTAAACTCCCAGCCCTGAATGAGGGTTGGAGTATGGATGATGTACACAACCAGGCAAGAAAGACCCCCCTGATTTGTTTTCACACGGTCTGTCCAGCCTTGGGTGGGAACTGGTTAGGAGATCACCACCAGGTGCCCCCATCTCCCACATTCACTTGGAGGCGGGGCAAGAAGCCACCTCTATAAGAGCTAGTTCTGCTTGCAGGGCATGTGTTGTGGTTCTCCTTGTTGAAAAGGTTTTCCTGGGTCTTTACAGCAAGTAGGGATTCCTAGTAATGGTGGGACAAGACTGAGACAGGAAGGGAATGATGAGGCCTTCACCTGGCAGTTACTCTATGATTGGGATCAGACTGATTGCCTGAGGCTTCCTTCCCCCATGGCCTGGTTTTGGAATCGACTTGCTCCCTTCTCTGCTATGTTATGTGTCGTTAGTGAATACATTGGGCTGTTCATTCCTCCAGTGGTGGGCCACCTTGGATCTCTTGCAGATGACCTAAGGCCAGTGGGAGGGATCTGGTTCATGTGTTGCCCATTAATGATAATATCCTTCCTAGCTGGGCAAGCAGTCTGCAGAAGACTGGGTGATCTCAAATACTCACTCAGAGTTTCCTTATATCCTTTCCATTAGGGAGTGGTTTTGGTCCAGGAACCAAAAAAAAAAAAAAAAAAAAAAAAAATGTGGAATAATCCCACCCACAAGATAGTGATGAACTCTGCTTACAACAGCTTCTGCTTATCGCTGCAATAACGTGCTTAAAGTTAAGTTTGTTCCTTTCTAGATTACAAATAGAAAATTAATGCTTAAGTTTGTTAGTAAAATTGCTTTTTGGAACAGCACGCTCAGCCCCAGCCATATGTCCTGCCTAAGACAAAGGGAATTCCTCTGCAAAAAACACTGCACCAGGATACAGGAGATTTTGGTTCAGTTCCTACCTTGGACACACATGTCCACTGTCACTTGAGGGATATTTGGACATTCCTTTTCCATTTTTGGTCATTTCCTTTTCCTTTTGGTCATTTTCCTTTACCATCTGTCTCTTTTGCACAGCTCTGTGGCACTGGGTATGCATACATACATGTATCTATGCATCCCTTTTCCGTTACTGAATTGCATACAGCGGGGGCTGGATGTTGGCCAGGGCCTCCAAAACTGATCACCGTCATAAGAACATCCAGCTACATACATTTGTGTGAGGGTGGCTGGCCTCAAACATATTTGCAAAAAACCAAAAATAACTGACTATTTTTGTTATTTCTACCCTACTGCCAGCATATAAATGAATTGTCTCTTCCCCACGTATGAGAGTCAGCAGGGACAACTCCTGTTTTGCTTGGGGTGCTTTCCCTTCATATCTTAGTGGAAAACCTGTATCTATTCTATTACCATAAAATACATTAATTATATTTAAATTAAAAATAGCTTCAGGGATTTATTTTTTGTTTCCACTCTTTGTCTTACTAGATGTTTTGTCTAAAATACTGCACCAGACCTCAGCAGCACCTTGTGCTTTGTATGCTGAGAAGAAAAAGCAACAACCACTGAGAGTACAAGGTGCTTTGTGTAGGGAGGATATATTTGCACAGTGCCTCCCAGCAGCCACAGAGCAAACTCGGGTTAGTGCTGTGGATGGCTCACAGTTATAATGTGAAACTTCAACTTACCCACTACGTAGTCACAGCAGGAAATGGCTAGAAAACAGAATGAAAATGTTCTTAGATGCCTGGAAAGTCATCCTTGCAGCAGATGAATATGAAAGCAAGCACCAAGTGGTGTCTCTGAAATAGCCTATTGCCTTCGAGATGCTGGGCTGCTTCCTACACTGCTTTTGGCTGTACAGATTTATGTGGGATCTACTCACCCCATGCAAACATGCAGATGTAGGTGCACTTCAGGGAAATGAGAAAAATTTTATTTTGTGGGGGGTTCAGAGAAAGACATTGCTGCTGTCTCAGGGGGGTCAGGAGTCAGCTTTTGCAAAAAAGACCTCCTTAATCCACATCAGTTCTAGAAAGAAAAGGAGACAAACTAGCAGGCTGAGAAAAGAATGAAAGTTAGGAAAGCAAAGTTCACTGTTGGATGCAACTTTCATCCAACAGTATCCTGGAACTACTTCTGTTTGGCAGCTGGGGCCCAGAAAAAATCCAGGATGAAAAGTCTGGAGAATGGAAAAATTTCAGTGGTGCAAACAACCTTCATCTTACCAGCCTGTAATGTTAATAATGTCGTGTAGACAAACATCTAAATCCCAAGCTGCTTGCAACAGAGAATGCTAGTTGTGGGCTGGGAAAAGAGTCAGTCTTCTCTGTGCTTGCAGCTCCCTGAAGCCCAAGCATGGTTGTGCAGAATTCAGAGCCAGTGGGATATGAACCTGGTCCTCTGAGGCTGAACTGACTGCACAATTACCAGTGTTGATGTGGGGGCATGGACTCTGTCAGGGAGCTGAAGGAGGTTATTAGCTCTCATTAAAATTCTGCTCTTGAGCAGTCATATGAGCTTTGAAGAATTTAAAGCTGACTCATTGATTCTTCCTAGCATTTCAGTTTGGATGGGAAGGCCCAGGCTGTGTCAACAACCTTATCAAGAAGCAGCCTTTCCCTCCTGCATTAGGAGACACCACGAACAAAGTACTGAGAAACCACTGAAAGATCTGTTTACAGACATATCAGGAGATGCCAAGCCTTGGGTTTTGAAGCTGAGTAACAGTTCAAACAGGTGACTGACACAGAAATCTTACCATTCTCTAACCTGTGTTTTTACTGACTGACATATCACAACCATACAGTTTTAGTTCCCTACCAGTAAATACAATTTTTCTTAGCTGGGTCATTTCGTGAAAGTCAGAATGAAACAACAGTTCTTATTTGGTTATGAATTGTATATAACATGCAGAAATGCAAACTGGATCCTTGCACCAGACCTCTGCTTAAGGACAATCCCACCTGACCTACCTGCAAGCTGTTATTTTGGCTCTTGGATGGAAGAGTAGAAGTTATGTCAGCTGTACCATTCCTTGAGTGCCCTCACTGGCAGAAATGGTTACATGCTGGCTACTTTTAACCCCAGTGGGCCAGCTAGGCTCAAACCTTTATTGTGGTATCGTGTGGCATGCATGCTGCTCAGAAACAATGAAAGGAGTGGCTCCCTCCCTGCCATTAAATCCTAGTTACCCAGAATGACATAAGCATGTTTAAATTTGGTCTGAGATCCTTTTCTCTGTGTGGAACAATTGTTCTGGGGTAGACCTGCGGCTCAGCCAAGCCCATGGTCTTCAATGATCCCTGGGGGGCTGACTCAGGAGTTCTCTGGGAGAACAGCCCTGAGACTGCTCTAACATGGTGCAGGAGCCTGTTTCTTCCCAGGACAGGCAGGCAAATGGACCAGGTACAATTCTGCAGAGCACAGAGCAAAAATTTCCTGTCCTCTGCCCCATGCTGATCTCAAAATCTCAAATAATGTTATCAGAGGGGGAAGCTGATGCGGACAAACAGGGTGGATGCTAAAAGCTAGAAAGGTCATGCCAAAAGGTTTAACAGCTTGAGCATACCATACTCAATGACTTCTTCTGGCTCACGAAATCGAACCCTTCTCTCTGATTTCCGCCTTTCCCCCACAGCTTGGTCCACAGGCGGCCTTTTCCTCAGTATTGAAGGAGGATAGCTACTGTCATCTGTCTGAAGAGTTGATCAAAACATGAAACGTAAAACACATGGCCATTCAAACTGGAGTCATGCATCTGAGTAAAGCTTTGAAGTTTTGTACCTATGTTGCCTTGTCCCTCAAAGGACATGATATGAAACACATCTGTTTTAACATTTATAGTCAGACCACTGTAATATTTATAGCAAGACAATATGGATATTCCTTCATTGTCATAGATCTTCAGTACTTTAAAGCTGTCTTCTGAGGAAAAAGGTTGGTTAAAGTAATGGACAGAAAAGAGTTCAGAAAGGATTTCTCTAAACTGGAGTGAACAGTTACTGAAGGTGGCTGCTCAACAGCCTTGTGGTAGATGGACATAAATGTGATGTGAAATAAATGAACCATATCATTGGGAGCACCTTGGAAATGTTCTTCTGAGCTAAGCAGCTCCACTCTGAATGCAGTATTGCCATTTCATGCAGCAGTCTTGGTTTTGGACACTATCCTGGTGGGAATTTGTTTGTACTTTGATATCACAATTATGTTGTTGCTCTGGTTTTTGCTTGGAAGACACTTGGTCTTTGATAACAGAATCAGATTGCTGTGGATTCTGCCAGATGACAAGAAACAGAGCTGCAATAACAGTACTAAGTCCCTCTTCTGGGTAGGAATGTTCCCACAGTCAACTCCCTAAAATGGACCCAAAGCATCTCAGTTCAGAGACACCCACTGTCCTCTGGAATTGGAGAGCAGATGGCAAGTTTCCTACTTTTCAAAAACCTAAGTGAGTGGCAGAGATTCTATAAATTTTCTTTGAACTTTAAGATTGAAGTAATCTTTTCTACCCTTTTCTGCCCCTTCTCTCTGTTCTTCTGCTAGGTAAGGAGTATTATTTCTTAGATAGTTTGTTTGCACCTTCTGGTCACTGTCCCTGCTCCTTTTTTTTCCCCCTTGTGAGTCATTTCCTCACTCAATGATTGCACACCCCTTCCTCCATGTTTTTGTTCTTGCTTTAATCTTTCTACTTCTCAGTGCCTGCGTCTTTTTTCCCATTTTTAGACTCAAATACCCTTGCCCTACACCTTTGGATGCTCACCATTTCACACACCCACTCTTTGGGCAGCAGAAGCAAAATTAAGTCCCAACCAAAGTCTGGAGGTGTCAGACCCAAGAAGGAGAGGATAAGTAGGTTTCCCTATGCATCACACTTCGGATAATCACAGAAAGGCACATAACATCACCAGCAGGATCTGCCATGGAGTGAGGAATGTCTTCAGCTTTGATGCCTTCCCCTGAGGGATTTATAAACTAAATTTCATCTTAATTTATCACTGATAAGGATGTGGTTTTTTTTTTTTTTTTTTTTTTATCTTGGGGTTATATAAACATTCATACCACCTCTGTCTCAGGACCAAGGAGAGTGTGTATTGGACCTCTGTGTCTTTCATTCAGCAGCTCAGAAGCTGGAAGATTTATCCAGGGTATGGGAAACCTGTATTTAACTTATTCTTTCTAAGTCCAAAGGAATATGAACCCACATCTCTTATATGCACACTGTCATCATCATAGCTGTGGTGCACACGTGGGAGCAAGGAATCTCAGTCTCTACCACTGAAGCTATCTTGTTTGGTCTCAAATAATTAAATATTCATTAAGCTCAAGAAAGAAAGAATGAAAGAATGACTTTACACTGGTGTTTGGGGGCTCCCTTGGGGGTGGTAGAAGTCTGCTCCTGTCCTTACTCCAATGAATACTTAATATAAAATACTTAAATATTCATTGGAGCGGTCACTGGTAGCAGGGTCTCTCATCTACCAGGTGAGTACCCTCATCACTCTGCTATAGCCACACACACATGCACGCTTTTTGGCATAGTGAATATTTAATTGTTCTGTGTAAAATGAAACAGGTTTAGGGAGACACAGCCCTGCTCACACTAGCAGTGGTTATAGCTTAGCTAGAAGAGCTCCTCCCATAGCACAAACAAGGAAACCGAAGCTTCTATTTGAAGAGATTTAAAACCCAACGTGTGGCTTTTGTCCATGTGAGCTTTTTCAAGCACTTAACAGCAACATCACACCAGAAGAGAAAAACATTAAACGACTAGCTAGTTGGGTAGCACCTAGCCAAGGAATACCTTTAAAAGGAAGTGGTGTTTACAATATTTACTAGACTTTAATAACTTATTGAAATCAAAGCTACATACTATCAAAAGAAATGATGCGTTCTCCCCTCAGACAGCAACCTGTTGTTAATATACTATCCCAAAAGCTGGAAACCTACCAAAGTGCTAGTTGGGAAGCTATATGCCCTTAAAGAGAACCCATTTCTGAAAAGCTCCAGGCTTTGGACACAAGGACTCTATCGCCCGTCGAGAGGTTACTTACCGGCAGCTCCTCAGCACTAGGATCAGAAGGTGGGAGTGGACATATTTGGGACATGTACTCTGGATGCCAACATGAAGCCTCCCACACAAAGCTTTGGTTAGAAAGCCAGTTGTTCAAGAAAATGAGAAGGACCAGGGGAAAGTGTCTGGAGATTCCTGTGCAGCGAGGACTGAGCAGGCAGTGCCACCCAGCAGACGGGAGCAGCAGCAAATGACAGAGGAGTGGAAAGAAGTGTTTCCGCCCTTCACACCAGTGTTGGCTTGGGAAGGATGACGTTGCTTGAAATGTACTCAGTAGCCAAAAATAGCACACAGTGATAATACTGATTGTGCAGCTGGAAAGCAGGGCTTTCCTGGCAACTGGAAAGGGTCTGAATGAAGCAAATCACAGGTAAACACCCACATGCTTATGTGTGTAAACAGGAACCTGATGCTGTTCTTTTTATAATGATTGCTGCATTTTCATCATCATGTTGATCTGCTTTCCAGAAGCTTTTCCCAATCTCAGAAATCTTGCAAGTGGGATTCCTTTTAATTCTTCTCCCATTCCTAATATGTGGGTAATGCCATCAGGAAATGATATAGCTGTAGTGGTATCACATACATCTCCCCCCCCCCAGTGCAGTTATGGCCTCACTTTATATGTTTTACAAATTATATGTATTATTGTAGTAATAAAGTAGGATTTTAACATTAGACATTTCTAGAGATATTATAATGAGGCTATTGATAGGAAGAGAGGTGATTCATTGTTCAGGAGGCTTAAACAGCCCCTTGTCAAATGCTAAAGGCTGGTCATCATCAAATATATAATTTCCAGTCAGAAATACCTGCCATTACTGCTGAAATATGGCGGTTCACTGTCTCTAAAAGCACAAGCTTGAGCTTTTTTTTTTTTGTTGCTCTTTTCCTGAAGCTATTTATTTACTATGATATGTCTAAAATATTCTGGGTTTGTGTTATTTTCCAAGTGATTGTCCATGTGGATTGTCCCATGGCATACTCAGACTGGCCCTCGTTTTGCACTTGCCCCGTGAAACGAGGGTTGGAAAATACTTACATTAGCACCAGGAACCAGAGGGCACAGCAGCTCTGTAGGCTTCACTGTCTAAATCTTCCTTCCAGGGTTTTGGGGAGTGGGTGAGTTGATAGGAAGGGTTGGGATCCTACCCCAGAGAAAATTGGGCTAGCATAGCAGAGGAAGCATCTGTGGCTGACATGGGAACAGCAGCCACCTTGAGCCTTGCTGCCCTCCTCACAGCTCAGCCTCTGCATGGCTCTGTAGCTCTTGCAGGGGCTGCTGTCCTCAAGCTCTTCCCTTTCCAGCAGTGGAAGCAGTGTCAACATCGAGAAGAAATGACCCTGTTGGCTTGGGGCTCTTCACTGAATCCACCACATCTAAAAGTCACTTGGAGAGAGTCACCTTACCTTCTCCTTCCTGTACATCGGGGTGATGGAGGGCTTTTCCTCATGCTGCAACCGGCTCACAGCTGCAGGACTTGTGAAATGCTCTCAAAATCCCCTCTCTGGTGTGCCCTGCAAGTGTTTCACAGCAGTTATTTTGGGATATCTAAGCTGAGCTGTTGGTACGGAAAGTCATTCTTTCAAATTTTGTTCATAGCAGATCCTAGAGAGGAAGGTGACAAAGCCTTGGAAACCATGGTCCCTATCTTCTCCTCTGGTTCCTCCTTCTTCCTATATGATAGTCACTTACTACTAATTAACATAAGAAGGAACTTACCTGCTTACTTTGGCCAGCAAACTGGTGGAGATGGGAAGAGGGAAGTCAAACTCTAGTCTTCAACTAGCTTTGACTTTCTCCTGTGAGTTGTCCCATTTAATTTTACTAGTGTCATGCATCAAGCGGGGCACATAAGAAGGACTTCTGCAGCCTTTTACTCCTGCAGAGAGAGGCAGTGAGCTCATGAGCTTTTAGACATGAATGAAAAACCTTCTTCCTGTCTTTTTCACTGAATCTGGTTTTATTTAAAGAAAGGTCTCACATTTTTATAAATAATTAGCCAGAATTCTTTTGATGTTCTGTTTAGAAAACCCTGTAAAAAAGTCAAGGGGGTTTGTTGTTTTCAAGAAATGGACATATGGAGACAACGTTTGTAATTTTTGATGCCAGAAGCCATTTCTTTTCAGTTCTAGATTCCCATTACATGTAAACATTTTTTCTGTTCATTTGATTGAAAAATAATGGGGCAGCTTATAAATTTTTTCATGAAAGATTGCTACCCAAATGCTAGGAATGATGAGTTCATAGCGCTGTTCTCACTTTTATCCCACAATGTCTTAATTATTTTGATAGTAATGGTTGTAAATGCTTGAATAATTAGTAGTTACCTGGGCACTCAAGTTCCAGTGAATAAAGATGTCAGGAGTTCAATCTCATAACAAGGACAGATCTATTCTTACTAAGTGCTTTTGATTGCAGTTTAACAACCTAAAACTGGATATACATTAGGAGTAGAACACAGTTTAATGCATGAAGTGAAAGATTCCAGGAAAATGACCATTAGCCTCTGAAATCACTGGTAATAAATAATAGTTACAATAGTGGGGAAATTTCTGCTTTGGAAGCTGGGTGAATTTCCTTTAACATTGCCCTTCTTTTTAAAGTAATTTTTCATCTAAGCTTTGATCTCATTTCGTGCAACATATGTCAGAAGCAAAGCTGGACAAAGGATTCGTAAATGAATTATTTAGCTGATGGGTGTCACCTCTATTTCTTTCAGCTAATTGTTCACAAATAGATACTGACTTTTGTGAACGTATTCATTATTCAGATTTATTCAGCGGATAATTACTGGGAGTAATTCTTTTTCTGTAGATTGCTTGGAAGCATTTTGCTGTGAACATTTAATAGTAAAAATCTATCCATGCTTTCAACGCAAAGTAAAAATATCTGTAACTACTGATGGAGTCCTTAAACAGAAACAATATACTGCAGTCTTAATGAGCAATGCCAGCATTTTCAGGAAGAACTCTACTACTTCCCATGGTACATAGGAGGGAATGCAAAGATATCTCAATAATCTCTGTAGTGCTGACTTTAAACGGTGTATATTGTATATGCAAATAAGACTTTTGCAAGAAAAGGGTTGCTTAAATGTTTGCTCAGCAGAAAAACGAAACAAGCCTGAACAAAACATGATTGACTTTCCAGTGAATAAATATGAACAGTTCACACAAAAGAACTAACTGCATAGCCAGTATTTTCCCGCAATGCCCCAACTGAAGATATCTAGGAAATAAACATAACGTGGTAAGACAATTTTACACTCAGAGGGTGGCTGTGCAACTATATGAACTCTTTTTTCCATTTCCTTCTGTAAGAATAAATATTCTAGACAAGCAAAGTACTTTGTAAATGATGCCTTTGTGGGGATTCGTCTGGCCTGGTTCAATTATTTTGAAACCTAGCAATTTTCTCATATCATTGGATCTGGTTTTATTGCAAATAGGGTCATAGAAATAGTCACTCATTGCGATAATGGACTTAGTTTATCTTAACTATTAACACTTCCCGTAGGTTTACACACACATATATATTCAATATTTATGGATATGCACAGTGCATATATATTAATAATGAAGCAACTTTATCTCCAACAATCTGAAAACAAAATCACGTAATACCATACAGTGCGGGGTGCAATGGTAACTGGAAGCAGCATATCAGGGTAACAGAACAGAAAAGGAATAAATAAATTAGAAGGGAGTCTTCCATATCTTCTTCAACTTCCAGAGTGTCAGTTGAGCCTTTGTTCAATATTCCACCTTTCGTGGTTCTGTGTGCTCTTCATTAATAATTTAGAGATGCACCTTTTGGCAGCAAGGTAAGTTTTGTGTTTGCCAAGAGTGATTTTCCACCAGTCAGGGAATACATCAGGAAATAAAAGGGCAAATTTCCCCACAGTATAGCTAGCTGTGCCCCGCCTTCCTTTCTCTGCCTCTGCAGAAACAGATTTACTGCTGAAAGGTGTGGGCCACCCGTGAGGTGTCATGCAGCACCATTTCTGCTCCTTAGACCTCCCAAGGAGGAAAGCACTGTATAAATCTCAAACTCAAGACAAAAATCAGCCCTTTGGGCTGTGCTTTTCCATGTGTATTCCACAACCAGAAGGGCCATGGATGGTCACTCCAAACAGGGCATTTTTGTGGAGTTGGGGAAAAAAAAGGTCAACAACAAAGCCTAGTGAAGACAGAACAATGAATAAGAAGATGGTCTGATAACACTTGGTATGTGTAGCTAGCCAGGCTGAAATCAGTTTTCCTTCCTTAAATTTGTGGTGCCTAGAGATCTATGTACCCAGGCGCATTTCTCCCAAAGGTAGGGCAGTGTGATCAACACAAAGTGCAATATCAACAGTCCCTGTGGTGCTCTGTGCAGGACCCATAAGCTTATCCTCCCATCGAGACCTCCTCTTGGCCCTCAGATACCACTTCCCTGTGCTGGAAGTTTTCATGATCATACAGATCTGTAAGTTCTCCTGTGATGCAGGCACAGAGACCCAGGGCTATTCATCCAGGAACTGCAGGCCTGGATTGCTACTCTGCAAAAATTACATTAGGCATGGCAATATCACATGGAGCCATCTGATCCAGCACAACAGAGCTAATGTCTGAAAGCAATGCCCTGTCTTTATTTGTGGATATAGCAGGTCCTTCTGAGTGATGATCATCTTCCTGGAGATGTGGCACCAGTTTCAAATCCCCAGTGTGCCAGGGTTTGTACTGGTTTTGAACTAACTCTTCTCTAAGGAAAGATGCAAGCACTGAGCAGAACACGTAGTAGGGTTTTGTGTTATGGTGAGAACATCCTCACTGCAGGGCACAGTGAATTCTGCTTTATTGGGACCAGCTAGAAATGATTTCACTCTGTTGAGTAACCTGGTCTCCATTCATCCCTGGCATGAATCCATTGACTTATATAAGGCACGGATGGGTCTGTCTCTATTTCTTAAAATTGCCTCTCTTATTCACGTGTCTTTCTGGGCAGATGTTACAAATAACCACAGAGTTCTTGTGATGTTATATAGTAAACAG